GCCAATTTTTACCACCTTCCATGGAAATAACATGACTACTATGCATACTCTCCACGGTAGGGAGTAATTAAGACATTTATTCTACTCTAAGTCGTACTTATTTAACATAATATTCACTCTAGACCAATACTAAGTCATATCTATTCTTAGGAAAAATTGCTGCTTCATTAGAAATTCATTCATTAAATGAAATGCTTCATCCGACCCAAGTCACATGGAGATAGAGCAACAGCCAACATCTTACGAATTCATGGAATTGATACTCATAGGTGAATATCCAGTGCTCTGGCCAGTCAACAGCGCGGTTTACTTCTGATCAACAGAGGGGGTGGTAGAAAATGGATTTCTCTCATAAGAGACTCCCGATTCAAAGTGCATTAATATTTTCCTTTAACAAGGTTGGGATTTGACTGCTTGCCCTGTCACTCGGTGTGTGAATTGAACTTTTATTGCAAGTTTTGAGTTCGTGTGTGTAGTTGTTTGCACAATCTGAATATTGCACTAGCATGAATTAGTGTAGCGTGACCCAAATACACGATTAGGTAACATACTACAAATGTGGTGCGATTTCAGATATGGAAAGCTATGGAAAATTGCTGAACTGCATGTCCCCAAGATGCGTAAATATCACCGAGTCTCCTTATTTGAAATTTATCTCTTGCCAATCAATATATTCTTGCTTTTTTATCTTAGCTGTATACTTACCCTTTAAAGGTGATCTATCAATCAAACCGAGCTTCCACTTAATTGGCGTTCATTAAATTTTATATTGGGATGCATCTTATAAACTTGCATCAATTTAAGATCCTTAAACAACATTATTTTTTCATTATTATTTCTATTCAAGTCGAGGTTAATTTTGAAAACAGTCCGTGACACTGGGCGATCAGTAATGCACTGTAATACTACTGAACCAATTTCCAGATCTCCCAATGGGCTAATAAAAAATGTTCGAAAAGTCGATCTTTCATCTACAAAATATTGACCAATTTTATTCGGCAATAAAAGCATCTCGGGGCTTACCACTCCAGCAACTGGCCATTATTAACTGGTACAATAGGTCATTTCACTCACTAAAGAAATGGCGAAATGCCTCAGATTACTTAAACACACCTGAGAATTCCATGTCATTAAAAAGGTTTTTCTCTTCTTTTAGCCAACGCGACTACTTGGACACCCCAAGCGACCATCCAAGCCTGACAACCTCGTGATAGGATAATTTGCAACCGAAAACCCTATTCTTTCCCGTACCCTCTCTTCCCAAAAAATAGTTATTCTAATTGCTGCGAAACATCAAATGCCCTGTCTCCTTGCACCAACTCAAAGCAGCACGAAAAAAGGCGACGATAAAAAACAACAAATGTGTTTTATTTCTGTTGAAAAAAGGAAATAAGTACTGTTTGACATGTCCATAAAGGCGTAACTATGACCTCATTCCCAACAATCCTTCTTCCTACCCAACTGTTTTATTAAGTGACCAATATATGGAACGGAATAAATAAAAATAAGAACAAAATCAAAATGAAACTTTTAAATGCACACATTAGATAAACGTCAAGCTCAGAATCTATAAGTTAATAAGGTGGCACAAAAATCTCAGTAAGATAAGAAAATTTTAAAAGATAGCATAAGATACTAAAGATGAATATTGAAAAACCAGCTATCAAAAAGCTAGACAGCCCATTTACGTTAAGTTAACCAAATGCATCGCAGAAAACATAAATGTCAAAAAAGCCATTAAAGATTATTCTACTCTTACCTCCTAAGTAGTACCCTATGATACAATAGAGAACTCACCAAAACAGTGCCCGCTGGTGCCAAGTACTTCATTTTAGATTTCGGTTCAGGTATATCTAAACACTGTAAGCACTATTGAATCAGTTAAATCACATGATCATGAAAGAATATGAACCTGGCAAGACTCGAAGTAATAAGCGAAAATAACGTAAGAAGACATAAGCAGAACATACCTAGCCCATTTGTTACATGCGTCCCGGAAACGTAACAATTGAAGAAGTGAATGCAGAATTACAAATCGCACTAATTTGTAAACAAAATACCAATATTCCATAAAAAGATAAACAGTACTATCTCCAATTTGCACCATGTCTTAGATTATAATATAATACGAACAATGTTTAATCTTCGACTATACACAAAAGCATACATAATCTAGAAATTCATAATACTTTAAGACCGCGGAAACAGTAAACGGATTTATCAGAGGCTCAACAGTTTGTTATTTCACGAGAAAGGGCAAATTAATGACAAAAACAAATTTCGTTCAACCACAAGTTTATTTATAGACAAATGATAAACAATTAATTACGATTGAAAGCGACGGGACGAGGTGGGGGCTTCCTGATCTTACGGGCTTCCTTAGAACGTCCACGGACAACCTTTCCGTGAATAGCACAACTGACACAGTAGTACAATTTGACGTAAATTTTCGGGAGGACGTAATCTGCAAGGAATGCACAATAACTTGTAAGGCCGAGAAAAAATGAACCATCACTTTGTAAAAAACCTACCAGTATACACGGATGCCTCAGTTAAATCCTTAACAGCTGCAGCCTCAGCAACATTTCTAATTACATATTTTCGAATAGCCTTATCCTTTGGACAACATCTACCGCAGTTAGTGCAGCGAACGAACTGGACATGTCCTCGGCCCTTCTTAGACCTTCCATTATTCCTCCTTTTCTTAGTCTAGAGAGAAAATTAAGGCAAGCAAAATAACATACCATCCCAGAAGCGTGCTCTCAAACAGTGCCAGATAAATTATTGGCTGACTAAAACTAAAATGATGACATTGAATTCTCAGATAATTATTACATTGAAAATTATAAAAGCAATATTAACTTTTATGAATTAATTTGCTTATATAGTGGAAAACTATAATATGCTATTTAAATATTTTTGACCAATTAGTTCTGATTTGCATTATGTGCAAATAATTATTAAATAAATTTACTATGCAGTTTTTAATGAGCTTTTAAAGATTTTTAATGTCTGTTATCCGTAGTGAAATTATCAAACCCGTGTGGTCTTCGTGTTATTAAATTTAATGTCGGACAATATTATAAATTACTGATGAAATTGAAAGTGATTATTAAGAAATTCATCTCGAATTCGTACTGGTCAGTTTTTAATGATGAAAACTAACATGATACAAATAAATATTTCGCTTATTGACTAAGAATATTGCAATAATTTATTATATTCATAATACCATATACACCTTACCTTATGAAAAGCAAGTTAGATAAAATATCAACTGTTGTATAAAGCAATTAAACAAATTGGAACTTTATTACCGAGATCACTGAGATGCCAGTAGGTCGATATGTAAGCATCAATATTTTGTTACATAATAGCAGCACAATATCTTATCAATCAGTTCATCTTTGAAGAATGATTATTTCATCTCTTGAAACATAATTTCCAGAGATTGCTGTGATGATGAGATACAATTTAACGTCCCAAACATTGATCAAGTTTTAAAAGGCATCATTTCAAATTTAACAAATGCATTCAATACAAATCAAGACCTTTCTAAATGACTGGTCTCAATTTATGTATTAGAGTTGCGAATTATTTCTTTTAAAAGACAAGATTAATAACGTTTTTAATATATAATATCATAATTCTCAAATCCCTTCAAAGTTTCCTACTCCTTGATTGCCCCACCTGTGAAGATGGTTAACGTCGGATTTATAAAATAACAATGAGGTCCTGCTATTTTCAATATGATATCCTTTCGAGGTCGTTCAAGCACAAGATTTTGCTAACGTTATACTGAGTTTTGATTTAAAATTAACTCACTGATATTGGAAATATTCCAATTTTTGATTATTCGTATATATGAACTCAGTAAATAAAAAATCTAAACTGGGAAATACATATAAAGTCAATTGATTGCGCTATGCTCGATCGTGGATTGTTGATAATAAAGGATTTATGGTAGCATAGCATGATACTTGCAGTGATAAATCTAATAAAATTTACTGAACATTCATCAGCATTGACCTAACTGAAATCGGATGCATAAAATAGTAGATTACAAAATTAAGTTAGTCATTCTGTTTACCGTATCTTATTACTGGGGTATCACTGATCTGGTGCGTGCAATATTTCAATAAATGTATAAATGGGTTCAGTAGCAAATGGCTTAGTGTGGGACAATTAGCCCTAATCGCTGAGTAAATGACACATCGGAGATTTATTTCCGTAAAGTGTTTACAGTTTATCCCAGCCGCATTAATTCATGAAGACGCATCTTAATTATTGAAGTTTGAAAGAAATAAATGTGAAAATTTGCACCACACATAAGCCATACAAGATTGATTTTGCAATGAAGACATGTGAAATTAAAAATTTCACTTTGGTTAAAAATTTATTGATCAGTGCATTGGTTTTATAAGAAAAAGCATCTCACTAATTGATGTCAATCATGTCTAGGCGCGCCAAGTATCATCTGTTTAGATGAACCGATATTAGATACTTAAATCGAGATATCATTTTCAGTCCCATATTGCTAATCTCCATATTTTGATAGACATTCTCTGGCAATGACAGATATTGATTCAAATATATATAAAGCAGATACATGGTGTGATTTTCACCCAGCTGAAATTCATTTTGTGCGATTTATACATAAGGAGGCAATAGTAATCTGAGTAATGAATCCGATACGGTAAAATCACTTATATAAAATTAGGTGGATTAATATTTAATTCGATGCAAATGCAAATCTGACATTACGCTCGTCCTTGTGTCCATAAAGTTTTCAGTCCCAGTGTACTAGTGGCCCTGGGGTGACTTCGAACGTTGTGAATATTATAGATTACCCCAGCTATGCACGATCTGGAGAAGGGAATAGATTTTTTCGAACATGTGCATTGCTAAATTGGCTAGGGCTATATCAATCCAGTGGGTCGAGTGGATATAGAAAGCGAGTACGTCTAATTGAAAGGAATTCAAGATTTCTTTTAATAGCTTTACTTATAAACTATGGGAATATAAATTACCGAATATTTAAAGTCGGCATCAATTTTATTTAATGATTGAGCCACGTTGTGAATAAGCCAAAGCAAATGACTTATTTATTTTATCATAAATGAAATAAAACAACTTTATAAAACCATCTGTTTTCTTCCCTTGACATTTGGACACTTGAAGTAAATGCCAGTTTCAAACTGAAGTACTCAACCCATTTGACTTTCATATGCCTATTCTTTTCACTAAGATTACCAATACGACCTATGCTGTTCCAAAAAAACTACTAGAGAAAGCAAATATACAAAAAAATCTGCATCTGTTAATGAAAAATTATTTTTGACGCAAAATGATAATTTATTAATAAAAAGGCTGATATAACGTAGAGTTCCACGTATTACTAGTAAAACATCAAATATTTCTTGGGTATTTTATTACATTCACTAACAAAGTGGTCAAATAGCACCTAAGTTCTAGAATTTTAGGGCTCATAATTTCTTAGCTTAACATCCCTAACAAATTATCTATTACTCTAAACTAACATCATGACGTTGTTTGAATATTCTTTAGGCGGCTAAACGAAAGGCATAACGTATTCTAGATATGTCAAGATTATGCTCAACGGAAAATCTAAATTCAAAGTACATAAAGGAAGAAATAATTGGCTCAGGTACTTATGGAACCGTATTTCGGGCCCAAGATAAAATTACAGGCAAACAATATGCAATAAAACGAATTTTAATTGATAAGTAGGTGTACCAAAATCAATTTATTACTAGTTTTGATAATGGTATTCCAGCCTCCACAATGCGTGAAATAGGCGTTCTTATTGAGTTAAATCAGTTCAATCACCCAAATATTGTCGAGTATGTTTTTTTTCTCCTATAATCTTTGGTACAGAATACATGGGATTATTCATCAAGATCGAAATATTTCAATCGTATTCGAGTTTATCGACTGGGATTTAAAAAAGTACATGGATTCTCTTAAAAAATCCGGTTATAAACCTCGGGGAAATTCTATTGGTGGTCTTCCACTTCCTTTGGTTAAGGTAAAGCTAAATGTTCTTAATTTTTTGAAGGCTTTCACTAGACAATTACTTGATGCTCTCCGTCTCTGCCACAAATACAAAATAATTCACCGAGATATTAAGCCATCGAATCTTTTACTTACCAAGCATGGTGTCCTCAAATTAGCAGACTTTGGTCTGTCGCGAACTCATTCGATTAATAACCGAACCTACTGCCATGAAATCGTAACCCTTTGGTATCGAGCGCCAGAAATAATTCTCGGATCAAATGCTTATTCAACTGCCATTGATATTTGGAGTACAGGTTGCATCGCTTATGAAATGGTATTGAGCTGATAAGCATGAACTCTCTTGTAGTATACCGGAAATGTATTATTTCAAGGTGACAGTGAAATCGATCAGTTATTTAAGATCTTCCAAAGGTTAGGTAAGGAGAATTCCAAATTAAATCATATTTTATAAGGAACTCCTAGAATTGATGAATGGCCTGATATAGAAAGAATGCCAGATTATAATGAAGATTTCCCCCAGTTTACTCCAAAGCCATTTGGACGAGAACTGTCAAGAGAATTTCAGTCTTTCCTCAAGGTAACATCAATTTACACGTAAACGACTCATTTCCAATCTTCCCCTTCTTAACAGCAAATATTGAGATTAAATCCAGACCACAGAGCTCATGCACATGAACTACGCCATGCACCGTTTTTACGCGGAGCCAAAATAATTCCGGTTGAATGAGCACCAGATCAACCATTTCCTATACTCATAGTTTGTTCAACAAATTTGCTACTTTCCCCAAAGAATAAAATATTGATAGAACTAGTGATCTATTTCCATTTATAAAAATAGAGGATAAGAGTGATGCGTATTAAAATAAATCTAGTTGGATATCACAGTGGATTGAGAATCAAGTCACTTCAGTCCATTTCCAGCCTTGAACAGTATTTCAAAAGAGTGTAAATTCTGGGTCTGTTTGCAGAAGCAGGTTGAAGCATTCCCTAAAAAATTTTTAATAAGAAAAATTCAATTGGAAAACATACCATGACAATTGATCGCAGCTCTGGGATGATGTGCCCAAGATCACCAATCTTCATTTTACCCTCTTTAAATCGGGTCAAAAAGTCTCGATTCATGCTACCACCAGCCTAGAAAGGGATAAATCAGATGTAAAATTGAACATACAGCTTGATAGAGTGTTAAGCCCAAGGCGTATATGTCCAAACCCATGGTAAATGTTTTGCTCAATGTTTCAAGTATCGGGGAGTACCGACCATCACCAATATCAAAGTCCCAATCATCAAGTGAATCTGGCAATCTTGGTTTCGATCGCCCGAAATCCGTAAGTTTGAACAAGACACCAGAATGATCACCAGCGTCGAGTGCCTTAAAATAAATGATAAGGCGAGTACATCCAAAAAACAGATTTGCTCAATCGAATTAAGTAGACAAACTTACACGAATGGTATTTTTTACGGACTCGGTAATAACAGATTCCTCTACAGAGTAGCTATCAAAAACTAAACTGGGGATTTGTATCATGATATTGCTTGGTTTAACGTCAGCATGAACTACATCCGTTTTGATGTGTAGATAATATAGAGCTTTGATGATATCCACAAAAAGTCGTTTAAGAACTGACGGTTTTAGAGTCCTTTCAGCAAAATCTAATTCCTCAGACCTACCATTAATACCAGTGTCATGATAGGTGAAATTCTGAACACCGTCTCTTTTAGGAAACATGTATTGGAAGAGGCTTCCTCCAAAGCAGTATTCCTCCAAAATAATAAGCATTCCAGACTCCAACCAAGAATCCATGTACTTAACAACATTTGGGTGCCGAACAACAGAAAAGGCTTGAATCTCCTTCAAAACCTCCTCTTTACTCAATCTATCACCATGACGAGAATGAATGGAGCATTTTAGGCAGACAGTCCTTCCAGTTTTAACATGTCTAGCAGAATAGATTTTAGCAAACTTAGTAGAGTTGATTTGATTGAAGTTCTGATAATCACTGTGAATTCGAGCAGAGTCAAAAACACCATCAAAGAGCATGCGAAGATTATTTTCGTTTGGATCGTCACGCTTTATATCCATCCCAATAAACTGATTGGCACTATGAATGGAGAAATTTACAACCTGAGATTCGAGATTATCGTCCAGCAATTCCAATCTGGTTTTGAGAGATTTTTTTACTAGTGAGCATTGTCTTTGCAGGACGCGTTCAGGGAGAGATTGAGAGGGAATAATGGACAACAATTGGTTGCCATTGTTTTCGAATATTTGGGAGTATCTTTGCGAAAAATCGGAGTGAACTTCGATGAATTTACTATCCTCGGCTGCGGATAAGGATAATGGATTAACTGGCGACAAGGCTCTAAAGGTATTTAAGTCAGTCCCAGTGCCCGCATTAGTTTCATTACTCCTATTTCTCAATGGGCTCCGAAAACGTCGTGGTGTTGATTGCTCAATGAGTTCCTTTCGGGGACGCATTATGGAGCTTCATATAGCGGATAGCAAAATTAATAACCGCTCAACCCTAATAGCGCTTAAATAAATAGTCGTTAAAACAAATATATAACATGTTTTAAAAAAACTTCATTTTAATTTATATTTCTCAAACATGTTAAAAGCTGCTATTATTTCCTTTAAGATATGTTTTAACTCAAATGTAATTGTTAACTTTGCTTGCCTTGATTTACCTCACAATTTTACAGTTTATGGAATTTATATGTAAAAGTTGATTATCGATTAGTTAATACTAGTCACGTCTGGTTAAAATATAATATTAATCATTTTGATATTGTTTACGAAATTTGCTCAGGATGTAAAAACCAGTATGCCTATTTATATTTATCTACAATCAAGCCGTGCAATCGTTTAACCTCCTCTTGCTACTAAATAAACTTTTGTCGTGATCCTCGAATGAGTTTTGAAACCCATCTGCGATAATAATTATTTTATCATCATATTCTTCCATATTTTTTATTATTTTCAATTAGAATTTTAACCAGTTATGAAGAAACATCTTATGAATTTCAAATAACCGTAGACCACTTGCTATTTCCCGCTAACGTTGTGACGTGGCTATAAGATAATATCCCATGACTGCCTGAGTATATTTTATTGGGAATTTTTTGCATTTACCTATCATTCCTATCTTCATTCTATCATTCAGTAATTAATAAATGTATTCTGAATGCTTTTTAAGACATTTTGTTAAATTAAATTCACCTTATACGTTAATCAGCATGGGAATGAAAAGTAATATATTATGTATTCTGCTACTTTAATTTAAAAATTGTTGCCCTAAAATAGGTAAGAATATGTTTATTTTGATAACTATGCCCACATATGGCAGATTATCGCTTATTGATAACATGATGTCCGATAACATATTTTATGTATCAAACTATAACAAAATGGTTTTAACTGAAACTAATTTAATGATTCTGGAAATTTTCTTTTCAAGTGGTAGGCGTTTTGATAGGTATCACAAAGCGACAAAGTGGCAAAAAGTCGAGATGCGGACAGAATAATGATTCACAGATGTAAAAGAAACAGACAAAGGTAGAGAAAAAAGTAAGGTGAGTACTGTGGAAGTGGTCGAATATGACATACAGTCGGGTCATAGTAGTTTGAAGTCAAAAGTCAACTGCCACTTAGTAGACTTTTGCCGTATGAATATATATTGTTCAGGGTGCACCAGGTGGCGGTGAGTCTATCGCACACTCCATTTTTCTGGAAATAACCATGAATGAATAGCATTGCATGTATCCATATCAACTTTACTCTACGATTAAAGAAAAACCCATCAAATCAGAAAGAGGATACTCTAAATTAATATAATTAACTTTATTTTCTGAATATTGTCTGCATAATCTCTTCCCCTATATCAATATTTATTTTAATTTGGGATGAAGTAAACTTAACGTCCCATTCTTGATTTATCCTTAATACTCATAAGGCAAAAATATATAAATGCTGTTTTTTCACTAACTCTATAGTCTGGAGATTACAGGACGTTTATCTTCACCAGCTATATGTATATAGTGCTAAAGAGATACAAATCCTGACTATGAAATGAGAGGATGATTCTAGCGTAAGCTTTGTTTCTGAACAAACGTTCATGATGCAATACAAAATCTCAACTGCAATTAAAAGGAGTTAACATAATTTATTTATATCAAATGTTGGGCGTTTAGATAGTTTATATTAGCCCTGTAGTTAACTTCGGGCTTCACAGAGGCGTGGAACATCAAAATGAGTAAAAGTCGAGAGAGGGAAACCGAAGAATGATTTAAAGATGTAAAGGAGAGAGACATAATCAAAGTACAGATGAAGTATATGACGTTCGGGGAAATTATATTGGAGTTGCAAGTAGTGACCCTGATGTGATTGCCAAAGCTTAACTTCAAACGCTCAGCAGTGAAGCAATCTCTCACTGGCATTGCGATTTTTTACATCGCTCAACGCTCTTTGTGATCCTACTCGAACGAACACCACAATAACACTACAACTCCCCCAAACTGTCGACGTCTATTCTCCTCCCGTCTCCCACCGTCCAACACCATGTCCAAAGAAACAGATTTTGACTCATCCAATAACATTTCGGGCTGTCCAACCTTGGACACAGAAATCTGATCCGTTCAATTCGAGAATACGCTAAAAATAAAGGGCATCCCGAAACGGACAAACGAAATCTCTTCTGCTGAAAGCAAACAACATTGCATTTTCATGTGAGACGAAATGCGGAAATGAGAATTTAACAACGAATTGAAGGTTAGAAAATTGGGAAGCGAACACTGTGCGAGATAGTACTCCCCATTTCACCAAACCCACATTCCACATTTGCCAGACCCCAAATTCAGCATCTCCTAAAACTGCAACGGCAATAATGAAATTGCTTTGAGTGATCTGATTGTTACTATGATTTGCTAAAGGGGATTTCACAAATTTGCTTGATTTGATGCCATGATTCAATTAGCTCTAATTGAAAATCCACTAACTACCTCATCCAAAAGTCGTGCATTATGATAAGTAAAAAAACGTATGGAAGCACCCTCTATTGCCGTCCTACTTGTAGCAGTGTCGTTCTTCCTTCATTCGTCCATTCTGGCCAAGGCGATTACACCTGTCTCATGACCCCCAAAAGTGCTCGCCAAATACTCGTTGCAAATGAGACTTGAATAACTCAATGAGATAATGAATACGTGTGCGCCAATAAAGTTAATTTGAACAAATAATATTAGGGGGGGGGGGAAGAGGGGGGAGGAGACGATGCATGTAGAGATGGTCACATTACTTGAACCACATTTGACCGCCAGTCTCCCATAGTGGGGCGACTTTGTATTTGCAACTCATTTCTTCACTCAGTGTGTCATCATACTAAAATTGTGTAGTCATTATCAGACTATTTCATCGCATAATTTACTCAATTTTCCCCCGTTCGGCAACCTGAGGGAAATATGTGCCCGAAGTCTTCGACTCTTGGTGAATTATTTGATAAATCAGGCATTTCGCACAGGAGTGGAGTCATAGCATCCTTCAAAGGTCATTCTCCGGGCAGTTTTGGTGCATCAATTGACTGTAGCATTGGTAAATGCCTGGTTTTTCCCAGTTGGTAATAGAAAGGAACTACATACACCTCATCTAGCTTCTGACCTCAGCATAAATTTGCTGGAGTTAGTGGGATATTGAAGATGCCATGTAGTTGCTGGATTACCTGGATTGCCTTCGGTGCCTCAGAAGTTCTTCTTCAGTGAACATATTTGTCTAACCAAAAGTAATAACGATAACTCATACCTATGCTGATAACTAACGTCGTCTTTCATTTTAATTCCTCTACACTCCTCTAGGTTGAGGTGGTGTGGTGTGGGGTGAGGAAGCGTCTCTTAGAGATGGACTAAAGATTTAACACTGTCATATCTAAGGGAAAGGGGAATGAAGTTGATTTGTCTTGTGCCAACCGGAAGTGGAAGAAGTGAAGAGGTAACACAGGCGCAGAATGGAAGATGACGTGTAAGAAAGACAGTGACCTTCTCAAGCCCTATTTGTAACTCGCATCCACCGTCCATTCGTCGGTGGATACCTCATCTTGAAATGTGGCCCAGAAGAGAGAAAAGCCCATTCATAAATTGCTAGACGGACCAGTGATTGTTGAATGGCGTCATAGAGCCTCACTCATTGGCCCACCAGTGTTGGTTGGTCAAAAGCACTTGGGTTGAATTAACCAAAAGTCAGAGAGGAATTAGCCATGAGAATTACATGTGTGTTGACTTACCTGGTGATTGACTTGCACAATGTAGATCCACTGTGCCTGAGGTCCCATCGTTGAATGTAACTCAGTACTCTTAAATATTGCCTCCGCCGGTTTCTTGTCACCACCACCACCACCACCACCACTATCTGCTTCCGTCCGCATCTCCACCATCACCTTTACGAAGCAAGAGTAGTCACATCACATGCCCCCTCAAATAATGCTGGTGAACTTCGGGCCCTAATTCAGGACAGTGCCTAGCCCATAAGTTTTGCCGCTTGAGGTAAGTTAATTGTAACTCTGCAAAAGTCACCAAATCCGAAGCACATAGATATTTCGTGGCCAGAGTCGAAATTCCCAAGTCAACTTATCGAAAGAGACTAATTCAATGAATCATACTCTCTTCGTCGTCTTTTTCTCCTTTTTACAACTCGTTTCCTTCCCTGTATCCATCTGTAACGTGGTGCCCTCCAATTCTATCTTCTTCTCTTCCTCTACGCCACTTCCTTCTACTTCTACTTCCACTCCTCTCCCTTCTTATTCTTCATCGTCAAGTCTATGTAAAAGGTTAATGTTTGTTTGCAATTCACCTACGGAGATTTCTGAGTTAGTCAAGGCCATACTAGTGTAGCAATCCTTTACAGTCAGTATACAATTTTTGGTGCACATATACACGATGACTTCAAAGGCAAAGATTTACGCTAGTGAGATATTACTTTCTTTAAGGGCTATTGTTAATTAGTCATCAATGTTATGCCATGCGAAGAACAAAATTAGTAGTCCCAGTTTTTGTTGATCGTATAAGTCATTATTTATCAATTTGAAATATTTCTCAAATATATACGAGTTCAATTTTTCGATAACATCATAAAAATTTACACAAAACTTTAAAAGCATTAAGATTCAAAAAAATAGATCATTGCTGTTGTTTATCTTATCTTAAAAACTGCTATGGGATTGGACAATGAGAAACCTATAGAGAAGTGATGAAATAGAAGGAAAATATTGGATAAAATTTAAGTCGTGAATTGTGCAAAAAAGAAAACTAAATGCCAAAATATTTAGAACATCAGAATGTATATTAGCAGTAGCTCTTTATTGCGATTGTGTCAACGGACTCATTGCCTATAATGACGCAGTGTCCAGGGGTCCACTAAGGAACTGCTCTTTTGTTTTTTCTCTCAGTAACTGATACAGTTTTTTATATTTTATGTGGTTCTTTTATACCAACTGAATTTATTGCTGACTGTGAATCCGAAAAATTACTGGTTTAGTGAATTTCGTATCCAGGCCGCACAATTGACCTAATGCTATCTTAATGGCCCCGGGGTGTGTGATAGACTTACCTCCATGTGGTGCACCCTGGGCAACGTATACTCATACGGCAAAAAAGTCTATTAACCGGCAGTTGACTTCTGACTCCAAACCACCATCACCTCAGTGTATGTCATATTCGATTACTTTCGCGGTACTCACCTCACTTTTCTACCTTTGTGTCTGTCTCTTTTACATCTTTGAAACACTCTTCTGTCCCCCCCCCCCGCCCATCTCGACCTTTTTCACTTTGACGTTCCTTCCCACTTTGATATTCATTCAACTCTGTGAAGCCTGAAGTCAACTAAAGGGCTAATGATAACTATCAAAACGCCTGCCATTTGATATAAATAAATAAATCTTAATGGCCCCTATGTCTCCTCCAAATGCAGGTCTATTTTGTCCCACTGCTGCGAAGAAAGAGAAGAGTTCAGAGTAGACACTGCACCAACGTTTGCTTAGTTTTCTATGTATGAGCCATAAGTGAAGACTTGGAGCCATTGGTCTGCAGGATAGTTTACATTGATTGTCTCAAGGCCCAAAGAGCGCATTTGACCTGGAGGGAGTATTTGCTTTCCTGAAATGGTTAAACAGCTGGGTGCAACATTGTACATCAGTGTCTGCTAATGGATTTTGGGGTAAAGAGAGGCATTTTGGTTTGTCAGCAATTTGTGATGCTTTCTACAGTCCTCTGGCTTTCTGTATTAGGGTAGATAACGTTTTTAGGCGTCTTGGCCTATTTTCATGGATGCTTATGGATTTGTTCCTGGGAATGCACAGTAGCTTCTCATACAGGATCAAGGCCTTGGGAACATATTGTAGTGCTTCCTGTAACTAGGAGCATGGCAAAACTTAATGTAATGTTCCCTGTAACCAGGAGCATTGCAACAATTGGTAATATATAAGACCCATGAAAATGTGGGAGTTACCTGAGGAAGAAATATGCTAGAGTATGGATGGATATTGTTGAGGTGCCTTTGGTGAGAGTTGCTCTCAGCTGTGAGGATTTGAAATCCGATTCTCTAGTACCATCTAGTAAATGTTGGTGAAATGGTAGGAAAAGTAAGAGTTAGCATTGAAAGGTTAAAACTGGATAAGGAATAAATATGAAACAAAGGATTTTTTGTCTTTGCTTTTTATAATTTTTTGCTTTTTTTCATATTTTGTCAATTTTATTAATCATTTTCTGGATTGATGGGAAGGAGGAGACGAAGAGGAGGGCAGCCGAGAAGAAACTGAAAGATGAGATGAGTTGTTGGAGGTCACTTGGGTTTGCACGGGGCTTTCTGTCGCAGAGGTTTCTGCTTGGAAAGTGTGTCACCTTGTCCATTCCCTTTCTGCTCTTTCTCCAACTTACCTATCACCTCGTTATAATGAGGAAAAAGTCTTAGAAACTTTCCAAACTCCTCGTGTGCTTGTTCAAGCCTACTCTGTGAGATTCTGCTCTCCTCCACGATGTC